AACAGTCCCCCTTTTTTTTTTTTACTTTTGGGTTTCTGCTTTGTTCAAGGAAACCAGATCAGTTTGCCAGACCTCAGTATAAGCAGTAAATTTTTTTTTTTTTAATGATCCATCAATTTGCAATTTAATGGTGGTAGAGTTTCCTCTCCCTAAACTGACTTTGGGCAAGATGCCATTGAAGTGCTCTGAGACACATGACAATTACTCTTAAGTAGACCTCGCCCTGTTTGAGCTTCAAACAGCATCATTATATCTTACTGTGTGTGTTGTGGAGAAGTGGGCAGACACTGGGGAAGAGGCTCTTCAATCTTATAATTAATCAAGGTGTAACGAGTATGAAAATGTGTAGAGCTGAGCTTTTAGGAATCATAAAATCCTAAAACTCTTAAGTTTGGGCATGTCTTTAAGTTTATGAGTCCTGCAGAATACACCAGGGTTTGATTTATTACTGGCCTTTGAAGTAATCTGACCATACTTGACTCAGTTGACTATACATGTACTTGAGTTTTATCACTACTAAGGTGTGATTTCTTATTCTAACTAGCTTTATAATCTCAACAGCACTATAATGATTTGTCTGGTTGCATCTTGGTCATTAGATTTAGGGTACATAAGGATTAGGGAATCATTTAATAAGACTCTTATTTTCTTGCTTTCCATTTTATGTTGATAGGAAGCTGTACAGAGGCTTTATGTACTTTTAAATGCACAGGCTTAGTTTACCATTTAACAGTAACCTATGGAAGACCTTACAGGTGCTCTGGGAGGCCTAGAGGAGAGTTTGTTGGTGTCCTGGGGAAAGACAGCTTCTCAGTGGATTTGAAGTAAGCCCTGAAGGTTCGGGACCAGAGTATAGCACTTGGTAATAACAGCTGTCATTTCCATATTAGCTTACTTGCCTGTGGTAAAGAATGAAGCAAAATGGTGATAAGAGGCCTGGGGTGGGAGTGGGGTGGGGTGTGGGGGGGTGGCACCTTTAAAGTGACTGAACTGAGGACACCTAGTTAGTTCTAGTTTGTTGAGACAGTTTTTGGATGATAAGAGCTGAATGTTATCAGTTAGGAGGTTAAAAGGGTTCTGGTAATTGGGACTCCTGACTCCCAGTGGGTAGTTGCTGTCTATGAAGTGGCCTGATACTGGCAGCTGGCTAAGTTTCTGGGCACTCAGGTTTTCCCCTGCACATCTGATTTGATGGTAATGTTTGAACACTGACTTAATGTTTCCTTGTATTGGGGTTTCTAGTGTCCAAAATACAGGCACAAAGAAAGTTTATTTATAAATGTTATGACTTAGCAGAGCTGATTGTCTTCGGCTTTGGGCAGGAAAATGATCTCTAAATGGGAAGTACAATTAGCCTCCAGTTTTTTCAAAGTAGTTGTCTAGCCTTTGGCAGAGGTAGAGGGAACTCTGAAAAGGTTACAGAACTTTCCTAATAAACCTGCTTATTAAGCAGGGTCAAATACCCAGTTTAACCTGCTACAAACTCTGTGATCAGAAATAGAAGTATGGATGGAAACACTACAACTTGATAGCTTGTGCTACATTCAGAGCTGTGCCGCAGCACCCTTGTGTTGAAGCAAGAATAATACTAAAGAATTCTCAGCACTTTTATGCTGCCATCCAGTCTGTTTTAAAGGAAAGGAGAAACATGTGTTAGACTTCTTGGCATGATAGGGATGTTTCAGAACTCCCAAGCACACTGTCAGGAAAACACCTCTCATCTCTATGCCTCCAGGAGGTGTAGGTCCTCTTGTTACCCTGCGTGTTGCTTGTTGGAATGTTAACAGCTTTAAATGGAATGGAGTGACTTGTCGCAGAAGGCAGGTCCTCCAATAATGTCGTTTCCTTCCACGGAGCTCAGGATGGTTTTCTTCACCAACGTTGTAGTGAAAGGCAGTTAGATGAAATAGCATTATTTGGGAGATGCTGGGGCAACATGGAGAATTTGAAGGAGCTCACTTTTGTCAGGATGCTTTGAGATAGGCCTTAGAGACTTGGTAGAAGGAGGAGGAGAAGAACTTCCCCTTTGCTCTTCCGTTTTTCCCTCCAGACCATTTATTTAGAATTCCCAGGACAAATGGGGCGATTTTTGATGTTTAATCACCAGTTTGAGTTTTGATCTTTAATTTTCTTCCTCCTGTTCCGTGTTCGTCTTTCTTACCCTAACCCAATTTATATTGTCTTAATCAACATTACTTTCTGAATTTTGGTTTTGATGGTCTTGACATCATTAAAGGCTTGTGTTCTGTTCAGAACTACTGGTCTTAGTAGTTGTCTGACCATGTTTGAGTCTACCTTGAAGATACTATGTAATAATAATAACACATGTAATTATTATTAGTTTAAAAATGATCTTCTTGAACCGAGATAAATCCCATCTGGGTCAAGTAATGAAGTATGAAAGTATGGCCATAGCAGCAATAAAAGGACATTAAGAATGGCTTCTGTCATCTTGTGTTGTAATCCTGACCCAGGAACATAGGGTTTGGCATATCAAAAATTAAAGTGAATCTGCACAAAAAAATCCATGGTAAGCAAGGTTGAGCTGGAAAAACTGCAGAAAACACTCGATAGTTGTTACATGGAAAGAAAAACCAAAAAAAGAAAGAAATACTGATGGAAAGTGGAGTATAAAAAAGTATACCAGTAAGTATATGAAAGGATGTTTAATTTCAGGATGAACCCAGATGATATAATTAAAAATGAGATCATTTTTTAATTGTTTGGATAAAAGTTGTTTATTAAAGACCAGCGAAACCCTGTATGTACCTGGCTTAGGAGTGCCCGATCACTGGCAGTCTGCAAACTGACAAGCTACTCTGGGCATTTCTCAGCACATTGCAGTTTAAAATATGCACACTCTTCAACCCAGCAATTTTACTTCTAGGGATTCCTCCTAGAGGCTTCCTCGACAGTTTATAATTGTGGAAAATTAGATGAAGCTCGAATCTCCACTGATAGCAGGAGCGCTTAAATACCAGTGCCCTTGTGTGGTATGTTTATGGTGTTCTTAGTCATATCTGTATTTATTGAGTGGGAGATTGTCCATGCCACATTTTTTAAATCACAGATTACAGAGAACTAATACATAAAAGGGACCCCCTTGTAGTAAAATGCGTATCGCTTCCCTCTGGGTTTCTGCACATGTGTAATGGGAGCCTGGAATGGGGCTTTCCACAGCCTCCCAAGGGTTACCATGCTATCCCAGGTGACAGACTTGCTATTTTCACTTTAGTATTTCTATATATACATGTGTATGTGTGCTCAAATTGAGCTATATTTTTAAAAACACATTATCTTTAAAATAGGAAACCTAAAGTGTTAATTTGGGGAAGGAGGAGGTCCAGAATGCTGCTGGAATGTTTGGGAGGGAGGAAGCAGGGAGCAAGCACCTGTTGAGCCCACAGAAGAATCCCTATTCCTTCACCTGTACCCAGCTAGATAATGCAGAACCCTGTTGCAAAGGAAATGGAGAAGCTTGCCCATGCTTTCGAGGAGAGCCTTGACATTGAGCTAGCTTGAGAGGGTGACTGATCAAATGAACTGGGTGGGGCTGGCCCAATTCTGTTTCTGCACCTGGTACAGCTGCATCTTTTTTGCATGATGTTTGCTTCACTGGTTAAAGCAAGGTCATGAGGTTGTTCTCTGTACCAGTAACTTCCCCTTCCAGTATGTTCTTGTTCTTCTAAGAATTGGTCTGTAACCCTATCTCAATGGTGGTCAGGGAGAATTGAGTTGGATTGGCTGAATTGTAGCCCTATAAAATGCAGTTGCTCAGTGTACTGGAATCATCCTATAGAACAAAAAGCAGTTCTTTTTTAAAAATGTATTTGCTTATACAATTTTTGAGGTTTCTTCTTTATTTTACTTTATCCAGAATCTGTTTCTCAAGTCCATGAACTGTGTACTTCATAAATTTTTCTTATGATCCCTTTCATTGCCTAACTTAGTAAACAGTCGGCATTATTAAGCATGGGCAGAAAATGATGAAATAAAAGTCAGCGCTGGGACTCTTCTTAGGGGATTTTTTTTTTTAAGCAGAACTGGTTCTTTTTTTAAAGCAGACACAGCTGCTTTGCATTGCCAGAGGCTCTCGGAGGTGGCGGGG